TTCGAGACAAGGTTTCTCTGTGTAGCTTTGTGCCTTTTCCTGGAACTCACTTGGTAGCCCAGGCTGGCCTCGAACTCACAGAGATCTGCCTGCCTCTGTCTCCCAAGTGCTGGGATTAAAGGCATGGGCCACCACTGCCCGGCTAGGAAAACACATATTTATAACACAATTCATAGCCATAGAAAAATTATAGTTATGAAGTAGCAACAAAAATAATTTTATGGTTGGAGGTCACTACAACCCTGTATTAAAAGGTCACAGCATTAGGAAGGTTGAGAACCACTGAACTAGGAGATAGCCCAGACTCAGAAGGACTAATATTCCTTTCATATGTGGACCCTAACCTCTGTTGAATGTGTGTATTCAGGCTCACCATGTTGGCACAGGCCTTTAACATCCCATCACTGGGACGTAGAGGCAAGCAGAGCCCTGTGAGGTTAACCTGGTCTACACAGCAAGTTTCAGGCCAGACACAACTACATAAGGAAAACCAGCTTCAAAGGGGAAAAAGAATGTGTATCTGCATGGGAGTCAATGTGAATAATGGCCAGGAAGCTAGAAAGGGACCCACAACACCTGGAGGGGGCTTTAAAGGAAGCGGGTAGGGAGGACAGTGGAACAGAGTGGATGAAAGAATAATGGGGTAAAGGAGGAGGTGTATAGACAGCAGACATGTGTGCATATGTAGGTGTAGAATTCATCTAAATGAAATACATATAAAAATCTCACGGCAGCCTGCTACTTTATAAGTTAATTTAAAAATTATATTGTATATATTTTTAAAAAGACAAAATATTGGGAAGGCAAATGCAGACAATTGAGACAATGAATGGTTCATGTTGACCTATACTGACCTTTCTGCTGTGAAGTGAGTAGATTAGAGAGGGCATTGTCATGAAAGGTGAGTGGCTTAGGGCGGTGGTGGTGCCCACCTGTAATCCCAGCACTCTGGAGGCAGAGGCAGGTGGATCTCTGTGAGTTCGAGGCCAGCCTGGTCTACAGAGTGAGTTCCAGGACATCCAGGGCTACACAGAGAAACCCTGTCTTGAAAAAACAAAACAAAACAAAACAAAATGTCAAAGTTATGAAAGAGAAAAGGGAGGAAAGAACTATTATGGAGAAGAAAGAATTTCAGAAGCAAAAATGCAACTATGATCAGACACTCTACTTTTTAAAATTATAAATAATATTATTGAAATAATTGGAAAATGTACATGTTTGGTTAATAGTATTGGATCCATATAACATTAGCATGACAATGGTATTGATATATAGAATAGTCTTGCTCTGCGAAGATACGGAGTTTAATATTTAGGAATAAAGTTTCTCTATGTCTATAATTTATTTTTAATAATAATGTATGCACATGTACTCATCTTCACGTATACATACATATATGTATATTTAAGAAAAAAATAGAATAAAAGTGGGGAAATGGTATTCACTTGTGAATATAGACAAAAATTTTATGAGTGTTGATTCTGCTATTCTTTGGCTTTTCTGAAAGTTTGAAAAGTGGAAGAAACAAAGAGGGCTATGGAATTTTGGCTGGCATGGAATCCTGACCCTGTGGCCAAAGTGATCTTGATAAAGAGCTTAAAAAAGAGGCTTTTATGAGGCCCCTTTCCATTGTCTGTAAAGTAAGTACAGTGATAGCCCTTATCCCATAGAACATCGTGAAGATTAACGGAACTGTACATGTGGATTAACTGGCATTAACTATCATTGTTAACATTAATTCATAGTATGGTAGAGTACTTGGGTGAGTCATCATAACTGACTGCTTCTGACTGACTGTGTAATTGTGGGGTAAAATGACCCTTTTTACAATATCCATATCATAGATATGGTTAATTTTGTTTTTAATTTATATCCCCTAGGTGGCTTACAAACTGATAAAGTATACACTGAACTCTCGCACCTATGGTGACTGTGGTAAGAAAGTAGCCGAAACCTTTTATAACATGGGCAGCATCTGTTTTGCCAAAGGAGAGCTCAGAAATGCGATTCAGCTGTTAAGGAAGGTGAGCAAAGAAAAGCAACATCTGGCTGATTTTGTTACATTTTTGTTTTCATGGACTTATTATAAGCAGGATGTGGGGAATGGTGTGTGTATATATGTATGTGTATTATTCAGAGTTCTCTATAGGAACAGAACTGATAGCATGAATACACACACACACACACACACACACACACACACACACACGGATTGATTAGAGTGGCTTGCAGGCTGTGGTCCAGCTAGTCCAACCATGGCTTTCTACTTGCACAAAGTCCAAGAATCTAGTAGTTGCTCAGTCCATGATGCTGGATGTCTCCGCTGGTCTTCAGTATATGCTGGGATCCTGAAGAAGCAGGCTCTAATGCTGGTGATGGGATGGATATGCCAGCGAGAGTGAGGGCAAGCTGGCAAAGAGCAAAAGCTTCCTTCTTCTGTGTCCTTTATATAGGCTTCCAGCAAGGAGGTGTAACCCAGATTAAAGGTGGACTTTTCCACCTCAAAAGACTTCGATTTTTTTAATTTAAAAGTTTTTTTTTTTCATTTTGCATACCAACCACAAATCCCCCTCCCTCTCCTCCTCCAGCTTCCTCCCTACTTCCTCCCCCGCCCCATCCACTCCCCAGAGAGGGTAAGTAGGAAGTCAACAAAGAAAAGACCGAGATTAAAGGTAGGGTTTCCCATTTCAAATGGCTTGATTTAATTAAGAAAAATCCCTCACAGTTGTACCCACCTGCCTGAGTTTTATAGTTAATTCCAGATGTAGTCAAGTTGACGATCAAGAACAGTCATTACAATATGTATATCTTTTCTCTTCCAATTTTTTTTTAAACCTTTGTAAGGAATATAACCAGTGAGTATGCCAACAGAACAAAAGGCTAAAGACTCAATGGGCTAAACCAGGCATGGTGGTGCACTGCTTTGGTTCCTGTACTCGGGCGGCAGAGGCAGGTGGATCTCTGTGAATTTGAGGCCAGCCTGGTCTACAGAGTGAGTTCCAGGACATCCAGGGCTACAGAGAGAAACCCTGTCTCAAACAAACAAACAAACAAACAAACAAACAAACAAACAAACAAACAAAAAACAGAAAGACTTCAAGGAGAGCATGAGCACAGAACCTACAAAGTTAGAAAACTGCTCACTGAAAAAACGATCATTTGAGGCCTAAAGATGAGATGAAAAAATACTAAGGGTGAAGTGAGAAAGGGCTTCCGGGGAAGCAACAGACCAATAAACACTCAAGGCCACGGTGAATGTGATGATGGGGAAAATGAAGAGTCTGTGTGCACAGATGTTGAGCAGTGTTCCTCAGATCTAGAACTGAAACATAGTGAAAGGCACAAAATCAGATTCCCGAGCTGCACCCACCTGCCTGATTGTTTCAGAGGTTCCCAGTTGTGTCTAGAGGCTGGCTCTCTGTTTTGTTTTTCAATATTACAGAGGCAATTTTTTAACATCTTGCTGTTTAAAGATCCATGATTTATATGATGAATTACAAAAGCTCTTCTAGGAACTTACAGTGTAAACTATCATGAGAAAATGGTTGATGTGTTTCAAGTAAGACCTTTAAGAACTGTATGGATTTCCAAAGAAGAAATTAGAATAACTAATAGACCTAGTACAGAGATCACTGAGCAACCTTTCTGAAATGAAAAAGGACCTTACTATAGACATTGTAAAGGTGTTGCAGTTCCGATCCAGAATGTCCCCACAGACTCACGCTTTGGACACATGGTCCTCAGCTCAGGACACAATTTAAGGAGGGTGTGAAACAGGTGGCAGGCTCCCTAGCTAGTGGAAGTTGACTGGGGGTTGGCCTGGAAGGTTATGACTGCCTCTGGTTTCAGGCTAGCTTACCAAATTCCTGACTGCAATGAGAGTCGGCTCTCAATGAGATGAAATGGACCGTGCTAATGAAGACTGGGGTGGGTCAGGAACTGCCCACAGAACTCCAAAGAGGAGGAGCATCTCCAGCATTATTAAGGACCAGCCTTAATAATCTTCTTCTTCCCAGGGGCCCAGAAGAGAGGCTACAAATGGCGAAAATTATTTTGGGGGAAAGAATCTAAGTACACCGGGCTCTTTTGTCCATCTACTTTATTCCTCTGGGATAAAATTCTGTCCACACAGTTTCAGTTCTGCTCTCATGCCTAGCTCCTTTCTTGCCCGATTTCTCTCTACATTTATCTGCTGTCCCCTCTAAGTTCTATCTTAATTCTCTCATCTTAGTTCTGCCCCATCTAGGTTCTCATCCATCTCGTTCTTTCCCATCTTAGCTCCTCTCCCATCTCCTTCTTTTTCATCTTGTTCTTCCTCATCTGGCTCTTCATCTTCCATTTCATTCCTTTAATACTTTCTTCTATCCCTTCAATCTAGTTCTTCCCCATCTCAGTTCATTCCTCTCCAGTTCTTACCCATCTAGTTCTTCCATTCTCTTTTCTCTTCTCTATCTAGTCCTTGCTCTGAAGATAAAACTTCCTTTTATCCCTTTGGCCCTTATCTCTCCAAGCTATCTCTGCTCCCACAGCTTCTGGCAGGGCAGAGGAAGTGTGCTCGGTCACTAGGCAACTTGGCTAGGCAGCTTTCATCACAGCCAGATGTACCTGTAAGTAGGAACCCCTTAGTTCTGAGTTCATTGTTAAGGGTGGATCTAAAACTAGAGATAAGACTTTGGAAAGGAAAAGGTTAAGCTTAATTAACATATCCCCCAGGCCTTCTTAACAGATAGTGTGGATGCTTAAGTCTGTTCTTAGAGAATACAGAGGTATCTCTGATAAGATACTTTCGGCAGTCCAGGGATGGTCCTGTCTGGATGCTGCTAATGACAATAATTACAGAAATGCCTGAAGTTAGGGATTCTGTTTGCATTACTGCTCAGAAGGTTATCTAAGTATTCCTTTAGTAGAGGAGAAATTTGTGCCCAAAGAATGATGGAAAGGCTACAATAGCACATGAGAAATTCATAGTAGGAAACCGCTAATAATCAAAAGCCAATATCACCAAGACTCCTTGAGCCTCGGTGTGACCTTTGGAAGGCCCTAGGCTTCTTCCAGGTATTAGCTTGTCACAATCAGCTGAAATACTACTTCATATTTTTGCGACTTGCAGCAGGACAGAGCATCAGCTTTAGATGCTTAACAGAGACTCTTTGTCAGACAGAGGAAGAGAAACATGTGGATATATTTCTAGTGGTACTTTTGGCTGATGTCTTTCTTGGTAATCTCAGGTTTCACATAAAAGGAATCAAATGATTAATTCACAAAATTTAAAAAAAACAGATATTTAGAAATTATAACCTGTGCCAAATAATTTTAATTATGTCTAGTAAATGTACATCATATTTGGAGGTATACAATTTAATCAGCTCTATATACAGATGAAACTGTTGCTCCAATCAATACAATATATTGATTGGAGCAGATGTTCTTTGATATCCCTGTGTAGTTCATCAATCCCACATTATCTTCTGATACTGGCAGAACAGCAGCAACAACCAAACCAAGCAAAAAAATTAAAAAAAAAAAATAAACCAGAAACATGTGTCAATGGAATTGAGGACACAGAAATAAACCTACACATCTATAGAGATATAATCTTTAAAGGTGTCAAAAATATGCATTGGAAAAAAGACAGCCTCTTCAACAAATAGTGCTAGGAAAATGTATACCTACCTTCATAACAATGAAACTAGATCTGTGAGACACAGCTAAGGAAGTTCTAAGAGGAAAATTCATAGCTCTGAATGCTTACATCAAAACACATTGATATCTAAAATATCTTAATGTACCTGAAGGTTTTAGAAAATCAAAACAAGCCAAACCCCAAAGTAGCAGGCTACAAGAAATAACAAATGCCATGCCATTCATGACTGTATTAGATATGGATCCATAGTAGATGCCCACCAACATATGAATGTATAAATGAAATATGGTGTGTAAACATAGTGGAATTTTATTGAGGAAAGACATTGTCACATTTTTCTCATATGCTGAAACTGGAGTGTGTGTGTGTGTGTGTGTGTGTGTGTGTGTGTGTAGGACATGAAAGTAGAAAAATAACTATGAGGAGAAGAATCTAAAGAGAAGGGGAAGGAGGAACAAGAGAGCGTGATGGAAATGTGTGAATGAAAGCAGAAAGATGGACTATTTGGGGTGAGGAAGGGGTCACTCATAAGGGGAAAGTGGCCACTGGGCCAAGTAAGAACAAAGTAAAATGATATATACATATGGAAATGAAAATATCATAATGAAACCCACTGCTCTGCATGCTAACAAACTTAATGAAGATTTCTCTGTGTGTCCAGATTCTTCTGTCCCATTGATTTGTCTGTCTGTGTGCTAATGCATATTGAATAGTGTAGCTTTAAAACAAGGCTTAAATTGGGGACATTCTAGTTCTCATTCACATTTGTTGATGGTATTATGGGATTTTTTTTTTTTACATTTCCAGAGGAATTTTACAGTCGCTATGTCAATTCATATTTTAAAACTTGCTGGAATTTTGACTGAGATTGCATAGAGAGGTCAGATTTGTTTGTAGAGATTTGGCATTTTAATAGTGTTTGTTATCTCTCTCAAGAATATGGATTACAGAATTAATACAAATTATAACTTATTTGCAATAATATTTTGTAGTTTCCAATATATGTCTTGTACATATTCTCTCATATTTATCTGATTTTGCATTTTTATCCTATTTAAAATACATCACTTTGAATTTCACTTTCTGATTGCTTGTTGCTGGTATATGGACACACTATTGATCTGGGTTTTGTATAATCTTATGTCTCATGACCTTGATACATTTGCTTAACTTGTTAGTTCCAGTACTGTGTTGTAGATTTTCTAAAGAGATAGTCATATCATGTGCTAATAAGTACCATATCTTTCATTCCAAGCTGGATGATTTGTATTTCTTTTTCTTATCTTACTGCACTGGTTAGAATACAGAAGCTGTGTCAAGTAGACCAGATGAGAACAGATACCTTTGTCTGAGCCCAAACTTGGTGAAAAATTATTTAGACTTTCATTATTAGAGTTGATTTTAGCTGTAGATCTTTTCAGATATTATATTATGTTGAAGAAGTTTTCATTTCCTTCTGAGCTGGTGAGAGTTTTTAATTAGAAATAGATGTTGAATACTATGAAATTATTATTCTGTCTCCACTGAGATGATCCACAGCTAGTTTCTATTTAAATAGTTCCATTTCTGTGTCTTCAAGTTCTCTATTTTTTTAAATTTAGAATCAAAACAGTTGTTAATCTTATCCAATTTATTTTCAAGCCAGACATCTTTATTTCCAAAGTTTTTATTAGATCTCTCTCTCTCTCTCTCTCTCT